TAGATAGATAGATAGATAGATAGATAGATAGATAGATAGATAGATAGATAGATGTGTTGTTAGTCAGTTCTGACTCTACATGGTTTTCTTGGCTGAGATACTGGAACTGTTTGCCATTTCCTTCTCCAGTGTGTCCCCATTTTACAAATGAGGAACTGAGGCAAATAGTGGTTAAGTGACTCACCCAGGGTCACACTAAATAAGCGTCTGAGGCTGTATTTGAACTCAGATATTCCTGGCTCCAGGCTTGGTGCTCTATCCATTGTACTACCTTGCTACCCATATATTAATGTATGATTAATGTATATTAATGTAAAGAGGTTGGCTTGAAGAGAGAGTCTGAGCCAAGTGGAATCATCTCCTTGAGAAAGGAAGAGCTGGGGAAATGGGGAAGAAAGGAGTAACCTGGAGGCCAGATAATGGCAACAAGGATCTGAACCAGATGGTGTACACTAATGGTGTGAACTTCAAAGAAGGAGAGGATATTGACTGGCAGAGGAAGGGTCTGAGAAATGGCAATGGGGATAAAGGAACATAAAAAAGTCTATTCTTAGCCCACTGTGTCATGGAACATGAGAAAAAGGGCAACCAGGCGGTGAGGATAGCAGGGAATGGAGTTTCTAGACTAAATGACTGCTTCCCACTCAACGATTCTGTAATGTCCTCTTGAATTACCATTAAGTCTGGAGCTTTTGTGAATGAAGTAGGAGGAAAGAAAAGAGCTGGAAAATTATAATTTGAGGGTCATGTAAATATATGTGAGGGAAAAGGGAGAGCTAAAGGGAAAAAAGAAAAGGGAGAGCCAAATTGGGAGGGGGGGGGATGACAAGGGAGAAAAAGGAAGAAGAAATGAGGTATTAGTACAGTTTTAAAATTTTTCAAAGAATTTTTTTTCTTCCTTTAAGACATCTAAGTTAGGAAAAAAAAGAAGAAAATTATTAACACCGATGGGATGGTACATAGAGCTCTATGTGGTTAATGAAAACAGCAGCATGGAAGGCGCTTAATCAGTCTTCTATTTTGCTTTGTCTGACTTCTTTTATCAGATACTTGAAAAACATCCATAATTTTTTTTAAAACTCTTGTGGGATTAATACACACACACACACACACACATACACACATGCATATCTTATAATGCTTTATTCATTAGGCCCAAGGGTTCCTTTTGAATAAGATTTTAGTAAAGTACAAGATTTATACTCATTTTCTACTAGGGGGTAGAAGGATCACTTAATTAAAAAGAAAAATAAAACACCATTTGTTTTAAAGTTAACAAACCTTAAGAAAATATTTCATGACTGATTATACCAAGTTGGAGTCAGAAATTAATCTCTGTGCTGTCCTTTGGCATAGCATATCCCAATTTAACAAGTGCAGTCCTCACTGGTGGAGCAAATCTAAGTTATCATTTGGGTTCATTCTACTTACTGAGAATTTATATTTATATGAAAATAGAAGGATAAATCCTACAGAGATCTCCTTCAGGTCCCAATTAAATCTACCACTGAACAATGGAGTTCTTTTTCTGTGTGTTGGCTGAGAATCAAGGGAAAACCAGGTGCATGTTCCACTTCCAGCACTTATTAGTTATGTGACAAAGAGCAAGTCATTCAACCTCTCTGGGTCTCATTTTTCTTATCTGTAAAATGGTCCTAAAGACATAAG